TATTATTATTATTTAAAATTATCATTGAATTTTATTTTTAATAAAATTTTCTGATTAAATTATTTCTATAAAAAAAATTATAATTAATAAATACATGGGATATTTCGAATTATTGCAACAAAATTAGAGATTTTTTTTTTAAAAAAAAAGTATAAAACGCAACGTTTAAATTAGAGAAAAGGGGAGAGCAAGTGGGGCTAAGGAGGCAACTGTTTGGGTGGTGCCAGTTGGTTTGACAGCGTGTTTACTGATTGGCTCCAGTTGGTGGTATTGTGGGGTCGAGAGTAGTTATCAGGTGAAGCACGGACCACGCTAACGCACGTTATTCTCTCTTACAAAATTCCTCCTCCTTTTATTTTTTTTTTTAAAAAAACATTAATTGCCACTATTTTCTTTTAATTTGGATCAATTAGTGCATTTTTACAAAAAAAATAATAATAAAAAAAAATAGAGAAAAATAATAAATAAAATTTATTTAATTTATATTTTACACACAAAAAATGGTGAAATAGAAGATTATTTCTATAAGTATATTTATAATAATTGCAAAAGTAACGTAACCAACTCCGCAAGGACCAAATGGGTGAAAGTGCTATTTTTTACTACATACATAACCCATTAATTATACAACTATAGATATTTTATTCTTACATGAAAAAAATATTTAAATCATATATATATATATACACACACGTAAATTTAAAGTATAATATTATATTATATAAATTTATATTCATGTTCTCATACTTATATTCTCTAAAATAAAAATAGTGAAACAAATTGAGTTTAAGTTTTTACCACTAATACTTTAATTAAATATTACAAATTCAAACTTAATTGAAAGCGTAGAGTTAACCACTTTGTATAAAGATAAATATTATTTTAAACTAATATTAAACTATACAAAAATAAAAATAAAACAAAATTTATAAACCAATTACCGAATCGATATAACTTAAGCCCATACCATACCATAATAAAAGTTTTCAGTTTGATCAAATCTTAAATTGGAGTTAGGTAAAATTTACTTTAAAATTTTAATTTTAAAATATATTATTTATATAGTAATATTTTGATTTTAAATATTAAAGAAGATGTGTATATTATTAATATACTTAATATTTTATTTACACAATATATATAATACACATATATTATTTTCTATATTTATTATTTTTAAATTTTAATATAAAAAAATGTTAATCGATTCAAACAATGCCGTACCGGATATAGATTGGATAACATTCATAGGTATAATATAATATAGCGGTGGGTAGGTTACGATGTTTAATTTAATAAAACTTATCAATATGTTTGTAAAAATATAATGATCAAATTATGTTTAATCTCAGCAACCATAATGTATCACGAATAAAATATTTATCGATAATTAATTTTTTATTTATTTATGATATCACAATGAAATAAAAATTTGACTTATTATTTTTTATTTAAAATAAAAAATGAACTATAGTTTTTCTATATAAGTCTATGTACTTTATATTATTTTTAATTATGTACTTCAAAAGTTTTACCGAATATATGATCCGTTTATTTAACCATGTATATTTAAATTTTTACTGAATTAATCATCAGTCTTAACTATTATTTATATTCACACACACACGTAGTTGCTTGACTTATTTTATATAAGTTCATATATTTTTATTGATTTATTCTAACTATATATTTTTGAATTTTTTGTAACACCCAGACCAGAAAAATTTGTTCCGAAATGATTTTTTTATTTATAAAATAGATATATAAATAATTAAAAATTTTATTTTTATTTTATTTTATTTAAATTACTAAAAAATAAAATATGAACAAAATTAAAAATAATTTTAGAGAAAATATGTGAAATTTTGAATAAGAAATGTGTTTTTGAAAGAAAACTTGAAAATATAAGGTAAAATCGTAAAAAGAAAAAATTTGGTCACGTGGGACAGTCAAATCAGCAGTCACGATGAACCAGAGTACGCCGCGTGGCAAAATACGATGACATCAGCGCCATGCGGGAGGCGAAGCAGGCGATCCATTTGCTTGGCAATCCGACAGTCCAGATCAGTCCCGTGCGCACAGACGGCTCAGA